ATTCTGGGTTCTGCACAGGCTGGAGAGGTAGACTGCCTATTTTACATTTGCTTTTAGGGCGGGATCTGAACAGTAACAGCAATGAAAGAAGATCAACACCCTTGTTCTCTGTGCTCCGTAAAGAGATGGGAAGCGTAAGGCTACATAAATTAGCAGCAGCTCTTCTTTCTTTCTTAGTTCTATGTTTGGCCCACTTAGTGCATTGGCGAAAGAGAAAACATTATTACCCAGACGTGCAGTCAACCATTCTGAAGAGTCAAAAGTGAAACCCTTTGATTCTCGGCATCTGTGCATTCTACTGACTCAAACGTCTAAACTAGCCCACATGGCCTCAGTGGCTAGACACCAATAAACAGCTGATGCCGGAGAGCTGAAGCCAAATACACACACCCAAAAGGAAACCTCCTACATAATATCAATAAAACACACCCATCCATTAAAAAGCCAGGACAACTCAATTGACAGCATCATCAGGATCTCAGCCTACCCCACTCTCTCGCTCAAGTAGTGAGGGACTAAAAAGCAACTCATTTTGAGGGCTCAGTGTATCTTGGGAGCTTCTAAGAGATAGCAGACTAGATTTTGTCCACCCAAAGGCCACTTATTAAGAAAATTGCTTTGTATATGACCAAACGGTCCTTCTCCTAGCTTCCTGGTCGATTCTGAAGGTTTCTTAAGAATAAAATAAGTGAATAAGAATAAAGCATACAATAATAATTTTTAAAAACCTATTCTATATGCATGGATTTTATGGCTCAGCCCTACGTCTATCTCAAACTTTTAAATTGCCTTATTCATACTTCCTTTTCTGTGGCATAGGCAAAATAATATTGTTCCTATGTTGAATTGCCATGAAAGTTTATTGGTGATGTAATCGATATTACATAGTTCCTCCAGATCACCTGAATCCCACTGAATATAAATTTCCATTCTGGGGGCTTAGATTTCTAGAATGCACGAACTAGGTGAGGCCTCTAGGGAAATTATCTTTGCCGTCAGTCATTTATCCCAAAAAAAGTTGGTAAAATCTTTTTAAAACAAAGCCTTTTTCCAACACTGTTGTCATTGTCTATATTAAGGAGGAAATATTGGAAGTGTAAAAGACTTTTTTATTAAAACATGTCTAGTTTTCTCCTCAAATTCCTCAGAAAACAAATTAGAAAAGTTATATAAATTAGACTCTTCACTGTTTATGACTAAGATTTTGTTCCTTTGACTGAAATGACAACCATTGTAATACTTTACTAATGGCTAACTGTATTTGAGAAATCCGTGACTACATGACTCTAGACATCTCTGTACTCAATATGAATATCTTACAAGGACTTATCTTTTAAGTGTGATCCATCTATTTGCTCAGAAAATGGTGAATACATTTCCTGCTATAGCTTTTTATATTTCAGGGTAGCACGAGAGTTAACAATGAAAATTAAAATCAAATATTGGGAGGGAAAACTTGCATTTCAGAAAATTTTACCTGTTTTTGCTGAAGCAACCTGAAAAGGAAAGTTTAGAAAATTAAAACCATAAAGAAAAACGCCATTTTGGGAAGTGTAAAACATCAATCAGAGTAGTAATAAATTTATCATAACATTTTTATACATAATATGAGCAATATTTCAATCCTTACAGTTTATTTGCACAAATCGTTTCCCAACACTCAAATCTACTACAAAGCAATCCTAAATAGAATTTAGAGGCTAGAGGCGGATCACATTACTATTTCATTTTTCTCTCTGAATCTGCCTATTGAGCTAAGTCAGTAGCTGTTGACAGATTTTTCAGAAATCTTTGTTCTTAAAATATAATGATAATCTTGTTTTCTTTCTCTAGTAAATCACATTAAATTTCAAACACACAAACATATATAATCTTGGTATAAGCCAAAAGTATTTTGATTTCTATCTCCCTACCCCCTAGACCCGTAAAGAAAAAGAAAGATAATCGATGTGTCTTATTTTTCTCTAATTAGTTACAGGTAGGTTAGAATGGTCAACTCACCATTTTAAGACAGATAAGACTGAATCCAATCAAAGACAAACATTTCTTGGGTCCACCAGCCATCCTGTTGGACACAGTGTTCACATGGTACACAAGAGAGTGAGTGATCAGGGTCCTTTTTGGTCCCCAGAAGGGCAGCACTGTAGGTTGCTGGGTCGTGGGGCTGTGTGATGCTGGGAACAGACCCTGGGAAGTAGCTCCTCCCCTTCAGGACAGAGCTGACCTGTAATTAGGGGCCCTTGGAGACTGGCAGGGACAGGTATTGCAAAGGCTGAAAAAAAAATGAGTTGAAAGCCACGCCAAGTGAGCCAAAAAGCTACTGTAACTTGGGCTTTAAGTAACATGTTGAATGTTCTCCTTTAAAAAAACTTTTGTTTCTAAATAAAAATTTCACAAAGCTGTATAGAAAATTGTTGAAACTGTGGAATGATTATTTTAAACTAGAGAATCCTGACCAGTTTTATTTATTCTTTTTCATCTTTATTTCTTCTTCTTCTTCTTCTTGTTTCAGTACAAAGTGATCAGCCCTGCTGTCAGGCACAATTTGCCGCAGCATTTCAATATCAAAGATGAAAGTGGGCTTGGGGGTGGGGGAATTAGGGAGATGTTGTTTAAGTGTACAAATTTACAACTAGTAGATTAGTAAATGCTGGAGACCTAATGCACAACATAGTGATCATAGTTAACAACATTGTATCATAATCCTCAAAGTTGCTAAGAGAGTAGATCTTAACTGTTCATACAAAAAAAATGATAATTATGTGATGTGATTGATGGTTAATGATACAGTAGCAATCATATTGCAATATATAAATGTATCAAACCAACTGGGTTTACTCCTTAAACTTACACAATGTTGTATGTTAATTATGTCTGGAAAAAAAAGGTGAAAGGACACAAGCTTGTCCCTGTACTGAAAAAGATAGTGGGAGGTCCTTCATGAGTACAATCAGTTCATCCATCGCCAGCACCACCCTGCGGTTCCAGTACCTTTTTTTTCAGAGCCACCTTCCTATTTGCATAAATTTTATGGCTCAGCCATATGTCTATGTAGCTCTTAAAAATAATTAGCATTTAATTCAAGCACTATAATATTTAATTCTAACAATAAGCAAGTATATCAATGACTAATAAACATTATCTATCGTATGAAATCACACAAGTATTAAATGGTGGAGCTGGGATTAAAACTCATCAGTCTGACTCCTGCTTCTAACCAAGATAGGATAAAAAGGACTTGATTTACCCTCTCTGACTTACTGTAAAGCTATAATAATTAAGACAACATTAATTATGAGGACTGGCATCAAGACAAATAGATCAATGGAACAGAATAGTCCAAATATAGACCCACATTTATGTAGACAACTGATTTGCAACAAAGGTGCAAAGGTAATCCAACGGAGAAAGGATAGTTTTTATAACAAGTGATACTGAAACAATCAGATGACCATATGCAAGAAACATTAACTTTGATTCATACCTCACGCCATATAAAAAATTAATTCAAAATGGATTATAGACCTAAATGTAACACCTAAAACTATAGAACTTCTAGAAAAACATAAAAGGAAATCTTTATGACCTTAGGTTAGGAAGAGATTTCTTAAATACAACACTAAAAGAATGTTTCATTTTAAAAATTGATAAATTGGACTTCTTCAAAATCTAGAACGTCTACACTATTTAGGGAATGAAAAGACAAACCACAGACTGGGAGAAAATATTTTCAAATCACATATTTCATAGAGCACTTGCATCCAAAATTTTTGAATTTAAAACATTTTTAAAAATATGTATGTATGTATATGTATATAGTCTCATAAGAAAACAACACCATAAAAAATAGGCAAAATATTTGAACAAACACTTCACAAAAGAAGATATACACGTGGAAAGTAAGCACATGAAAAAACCCTCACTATCATTAGTCATTAGGAGAATGCAAATTAAAACCACAATGAGATACCACTACATACTTATTAGATGTCTAAAATTAGAAGAAAAAAATTGACAAGGATGTAGAGCCACTGGAAATCTCATACCTGGTGGGAATATTAAATAGTACAACCACAAACCGATTTGGCTATTTCTAAAAAAAGTTAAACACACGCCTATTATATGACCCAAACATTTCACTCCTAGATATTTACAATGGAGGCTCAAGGGACTGCAATGGAGAATGAAAAGTTGATAGGGGCAATAGACTGGAGAACCCAGTGGAATTAAATAATTGTTGGAAAGGATATTAGAGGAAGTAAACAACTCTATGGGAGTTGGTGATCAGAGAATAGGATGTTTGAAATGGATACTGGAGAAGTTTCAGTTATCGGTAATGGTCTGTTCTAGGATGTAACCATGAGAACTGACAGCTGAGTTCAGGTGGAGGAAAAAAAATCTTTGGAGGTCAGGAGATCATGAAATTAGAGACCTGAGTATTGGAAAGATTGTTTAATGGATAGTGGAATCACTAAGAACTGTGGCAAGAGTAATGAGGAAAGAGGCATTGAGCCATCTGTAAAATTCTTTAAGTGTTTATGAAAATACTAGGGGAGTATCTTTCGAGGTCTGTGGGTGACATGAACAACTGCGGGACAATAGATGGTATAATCTGATGACATGAACTTTAGAGGAGCTAGGAGGATTAGAGAAGAGGGAGAAACAGTCGTCTGGAAGTACAATGATTTTATGTTAGAAAGTATTTCCTGACATCCAATCTCCTTCTCTAAACTAATGCTAAGTAGTTTAGGTTTTGTTACTTGGTACACAGGTCCAGACATCTGGACTTGGGAAAGCCGCGGATTACTGGGTCCCGCTGACAACTGCACAGTGCAGGAGCTGGGCACTGGAGAAAGTGCCCGTGCTGCCGGGGCCTGGTGCTGGCCAATGCCACCCATACTGCAGGATCCTGTTGAGAGGGCACACCGGAACCAGGAAGCAACCCTTTCCTCCTGCAATGGCAAAGATTCTGCGCCAGCTGGCAAAAGAAAAAATTTAAAGGGCCCAGATTCATTTTCACGGAGCAGTCTAAAAGAATGAGTTTGGATCTCAGAGGCAATATATCCATAACTGGCACAGCATTCCTAACACCCAGATTATGGTCTTTGAATACTGTTTCTTACTGAAAGAAACCAGGGATCCTTAGAGAAATGGTTGATTATTCTAGGTCTGAGCAAGGAAAAATACAGTATGAGCGTGGAATATCTTGTCATACAAGAAGGCAAGGAAGCTGTTAGAGATTACTGGGGTCATGTCAAAAGGACTCAGCAGCCAGTGTGAAGAGGCTCCCATTAGCAAATGATAGAACCAGTATCAATAAAAATAATAACTGCGATGGAGAGAAACACATCAACTATGTTAACCGCGTAAGTTCACAATGAAACAAACTAGCAAAAGATTTCTCATTGATCACCTTTGAAGGATGCTAGAGAACCATTTTTTAAACAAAACCTGGTAAATAAATGGAAAAAATAAAAAATGGCTTCAATAGAACTTTCTTTCCGGCATGAACAGTGGAGGTCAAGCATCTAGGAGCAGCATGGCCATTCTGGTCTTGAGATCCAGGCACCTTTCAAATTTTTTGGTCTGCCATCTATAGGGTGAGGCCCTCTTTTTTCTTGGTCTGAGATAAAGCTCCAGCTATCATATCGAAGTTCTAAGCAGCGCAATTAAGGGGAGAGAGAAAAGATAAACTATATGCCAATAAGCTCTTAAGAAAGGTTCCTGCTGCCACTTACATCCCATGGGTCAGAAGTTGGTCTCGTGGCTATGCCAAGCTGAAAGAACAACAACAACAAAAAGGCACACAGTCACAAAATTCTATTGCTATGGAAGACGGGAGGAATGGGTAACAAACAGTTGAGTCTGTACGACACAAATGAGATTCAGGGCACAGGCAGATGTGTAAGTCTAGGGCAGAACTTGCAACATTTAACAAGATACAAAGAAAAGGAGGTTAGGAAGAAAACGGGATAGATGTGGCTGCAGCCAACCTTGTAGTTTGGAGGAAAAAGGCAGCAAGTTGAGGGACTTTTTACCTGATAGTCGTTAGACGTGAAGGGAGAGTGTGGAGGTGGAGTAGGAGACTTAAGAAACTGATAGATTTAAAGTAGTCACTTTAGGGGAAATGACAGAGTTGTTTAGTGATATAGAAAGGACATGGAGTAGGATCAATTGTCCAGGAAAAGACCAGACACTATGAGATTTATGGTGGCCATCATTCATACTGCACCCTCTACCATATCCTAACTCGTGCTTGATCCTTCCACCATACTCCTACATCCCCTTTCTGCCCTCAGGCTGACCATTTCTACCAAGGAAATACAATTTTATCTAGAATGTCTTTTTTCCCAGGTTGGGGTCGGGGAGAGATGAAGGAGGGAGGGAGGGAGGGAGAGGAAAATGGAGAGAGAAGGAGACAGAGAGGTAGATTGCAAGGACAACCACTGATCAGAGTGAAAAAAACAAAGACAAAACAAAAAAACTGGAAAGCAGCTTTGGGGGATTTATCATACTATCTCTTTCACATGGGCACCCTCATATGACAACTATACAAGTTTTGTCCATTCTTCTAAGGACTGGACAATTCTTAGTTGTCAAAATTCTAGGAGCCAGTCTGGTTCACTTACGTAAAACTCTCAACAAACTTACTTGGGTTGAGCCCTTTTTATCAGACTACATCAGGGGTTATCAACCAGTCTAATTAAGTGGCATCCTTATGATTGGTATTTTAATCCACTGTATGAGCCAGGGTCCAATGAGGAGACAGGAAACATATAGTAATTTGAACAGGAGGAATTTGATATAAAGAATTACTAACAAGTATTCACTCAAGTAGCACATGTACTAAAAAATTGAAACGATACAGACAAGATTAGTATGGTATGGCTCCTGCATAAAGATGACCTGCAAATTCATAAAGCACTCGTTTCTGGAGTTTATAAGGATGGTTGGTATTAATAGATTTCACATTACAGAGCTTTGGGTCAAAGAAGAATGAGTCAATAAATGGAGAAGTAAGACATGGTCATCCATATGGAACGAAAAAAAAGAATGACCAGTAGTGGAATTAATCACTATGGGTAAAGGGAACTCTTAGGAATATAGGAATATAGGAAGAGGAGTAGCCACTACCTCTGGGGCTGAGGCAGAGGACTCAAGTAAATTTGGAAGAGGTTCCCTTGCAGGACTGAGATTCAGACTGTCGGAGAGGGCGTGGCTGTGACCCACTGTTTGCTGGGGTACTGAAGCCTGGGGCTGGAGGGGATGTCAACAAAACTCATTAGAACTAAGCCACCCACTGCAGTGCCAGTGAGACTTACTGGGAAGGTGCCGGCTGAAGCACTATCAAGACTTGTGGGGGGACCAGTGGACTTGTCGGGAAATCCCCTCCATGAAGTGTCACTGGGTGGCCCACATACCAATGGCCTTATATACTGCAGAAGAAAACAGAACCAAGAAGAGAAGCATCTTTCTTCTGCAGCATCCCTCAAGCATCCTCTGCTGACAAGTTCAGCATTGTGCCACCAGACAAGAGTAATATTAAGGGCTCAGTTCCAGTATCACACAGCAGGGCAATGAAGCGTGCACTTGGGAGCTGGTGTTTAACTTGAACAAGTGTAACTCATTTTTGTGAAAGGCCGAAAAGATAACTCCCAACCTGAATACATTTTGCCTGTGCATTACCTTATGGATCATTATTATGTAATAGAAATTCTTTGACTATCGATGCTAAGAAACAATTTTAAGTCAGCTATGATGGTAATATTTTTCGGTTGATTGTATACATACTGTTTCCTTCAGTAACAAATGTTGATAGTCAGTGATCCTAAACTGAAACAATGCCACTTCAAAAGTATTGGTTAAGTGCTAGGAAATCTCATAAGATGGCATGATGGAAGAATTTCAGAGACAGGTTTCCTTCCCCGTAAAATCAGCTCTACTGAAGAGGTCCTAAAATTGGGTTAGTCATTCAAGGCTGAATTCAGCATTTACAAGATGACAGAATCAGATTAGGACCAGAACCACCAATTTAAAGCTCAACAGTTGGGTCATTTAGTGTTTAACTGAAGTTGCACATTGGAATCAGTTGAAAAAAACTGCCAGTGTCTGGGCCTCGTCTGTGTTCAAATCAAAAACTAATTATATTCATACAAAACTCTTTGGGGGAAAGGGAATTAAGTGAATACCATTAAACTTTTTTCTCCATTTCATCTTTTAAGTAAAAAGACAAAACACAAACCCAGTTAACTATTGCCTTTGGGCTACTCTCAGGAACTTAAATTTGCTATTCATTCCCAACTACTGTACACCTAATCACACCTTTTTAAAAATCAGTTAAACGGCACAAAAGCCCTAGGGTAGTTTAGTTCTTCTGAATTTATGTGCAAATCTGAGTTTATTTTCCTTAGACATTTGTAACTTTCATTTGATTCCTAAAAAGGGGCCTCTAACTCAAAGGTTAAGAACCACTGCCTTAGAGGAACTAAGGAACTAAGAAATTGAACACTAAATGGAAATTGTATATTGAAATCTCAAGATTGAGAATATACTAGCCCAGGTATAGCATTTAATTGCAAATTGAACTTTAGAAACAAATGAAGGTACTCATACATGGAAAGGTGAAATCATTTCATTAAGTTGAGACCAAAAACTAGATGGAGGCTGCTAGTTATATTAAGCTCTATTAGAAAGCTTTCAAGTTTTCTCACGTTTTAAGAAAGAATCCTGGAATGTTTTTCACAGCCACTTGTTTCCCCAGTCTTTTAGAAAGCCACTCCCCAAATTAAATCATTCACATATTTGGCATTAACTAGTATTACATGTGGTCAAAATGTTCCTCAAAAGCAAACTTTTAAAAATCACAAATCAAATGCAGCTTGTGATACTTTTCCCTCCTTTTGAAATAAATTCTTTCCACATTTAACTTAAAACACATCGCTGAATTAACATTTCAGATAAAAACTATATTCAAAGGAGTAACATCATTAATTTAGGAATGCTAAAAATATTTTCAAAGTTAAGATATACTGGTGTTCATTACTCAAGAATATAGTTTTCTAATCTCCACATCTAGCGTTAATTCACTTGATCTCAATTTAAGATGACTGAATCTTCTACTCTTAAAAAAAAAAAAATAGCATCTTCACAGAGGAATTCCTTCATTTAATGAGATTTTTCTGGAATTAGCTAAGTACAAATGTTAAGCCCACACAGGAAGGGTTCTTTAAATATCCTAGTTTGTTCCACTTGACACTTTTGCAAGGTGGCGTCTGAGTGCCCAGTCACTTGGCCAATATGAACAGCAAGATTAAACAAATGTCAGTATGGCACAGGCTGTCAGGAACGCTTTTAGTCCTATTGATGAAACAAATCACTCCTAGCCTCTATTTCTCTAAGGATGACTTAACATATAAAAGTTCCTTCCAGGTCCAAATTTTAAATGATTCTAATATGTAATCCAAGTGCAAAGTACCCCAATTAGTAACTTTGATGCGAAACTGAGTAATCACTCAGTCCAGAGAGTCTAGGGACACACCACACCCACCGACAAAGGGAACTGCCAGCAACTCTAGTAAGGATAACTGACTATCAACATACGTCCAGTCTGGTCTACGCACTTAAAATTCACCTATCTTCTGGGCACTGAGAGATCCCTCTACACAAACTGTGACTCTACCAGCATTTTACTTCAGACAATAAAAATACTTAAAAAAAAAACACATGGGGGAAAAGCCAACACCCAGGGTAAGGATTTAATCCAGTATTTATTCCACACTCATGATCGTTCTCTGTAATCAGAATACAGTCATAAGAACAATCTACCAAATAATTTGCCAATAATCTTAAATAATGCAGCATAGCATTACTTTTAATACGTCTTCTAGATTAAGTTTAAAAACTCAAACAGCAATCTTCATTATCAATAAAAAAGTTTTGAATTTTAAAAAAAGGACACTATATGAAGCTGTTTCATAATTTAAGTTATTTCATTTATAAAAACACTTTGGAAGCTTGAGGCTTGCATCTATTTCTCTACTCTGCCCCCCGCCCCCCGATTTCATGTTAGTATAGGGTTCTCCAAGAATACTAGGCTTTAGACATTAATTTTTCCTTTAATATAGTACTTTAAAATCTGAGAAATTCAAGAAAAAAAGATTACATGTCATGTAATTTTTCAAATAAAAAAAGAAAACTAAGTGAATAAATTTTAGGCATACTAACAGTGTCCCTTTGAGGTAGAATGCTAAAAGGACTTTTGATCAAATCACAGCCTAATTTAAACCTCTGCACCAGAAATTAACTTCTCATAAATTCTTTCTAAAGTTAACTGTGGAGAATATTAAGTGTAACATATTAACAAGAGCCTTCCAATATACAGTGGACAAGAATGTTAATCCTACAACTGCTGCCTTCATGTACATTGAAAGCACATAATTCTATCACAGACATCCAAGATCCATTCTCAAAGTCTTTAGCATTCTATTACGAAAAGCACAGCCATGCTAATTTCAATACACAAACCATAATCCCACACCTACAAAACAAAAATAGAATTAGTGGCAGTTTATTGCCTTATACAAATTTAACCAACATGGCAACCATGCCAAAGGAATTAAAACATTTTCAGGACATATGTACAGACTGTACATCTCGAAAACAATTAAACAAAAAATGCAAGAACAATCTGTGCATCATGTATCAAACTCAACAATTGGGTGAAAACATCAATGCAATAAATGGGATTACAAAGGAACCAAAAGAGGAAATGAAAATGCAGCCTACAGGGAGCTTGAAGAGTGCATAACTACTGCAACAATCTCAACTCGGGAACGGGGGAAGCAGATTTAATCAAACATTTATAGGATTCAATGTGATCCACTTTCACAAAAATATTTCACACAGTCTCGTCTTTGTCCTTATGCTGTTTTTCTTGGCTCTCCGGTTCTATACTTTGGCTCCTGCGACGATCGTGTTTATCAGACTGGTCCTTACTATCACTGTGATCTCGTTTGTGGGAACGTTCTTTGCTTCTGCTACGCTTTCTAGATTTTTCTTTGCTGGGGCTATGTTCCCGTTTTCTTGATTTTTCAACACTGTCAGTTCTTCCTTGACTGCCACTTCTACTTCTTTTATTTGATTTTTCTTTACTTTCACTTTTATGTTTACTTGATTTCTCTTTACTCCTGCTTCTACTTCGTTTCCCTGCATTTCTGCTTCTACTCCTACTTCTATGTTTCCTTTCTCTGCTTCTACTTCTACTGTGCTTTTTCTCTTTCTTGGACTCTTTTTTGTCATCCCTATGCCGTCGATCATCTTTGTCTTCTTTATGCTTCTTTTCTTCTACCTCACCCCTACTTCTCCGTTCCTTGGAGCGTTCTCTTGATCGTTCTCTCTCCTTTTCTCGGTCAGCACCTCTTTCCTTATCGTAGTCGCGATCTCGTCTTCTACCTCTCTCATTTTCTTTCTCTCTTTCCCGATCCCTGTCTCTTCTGTCTCCTTTCCTA